CCATCTCAAATAAATAAATAATAAATAATAATAATAAATTGGCCAGGAGCAGTGGCTCACACCTGTAATCCCAGCACAATGGAAGACCAAGGCAGGCAGATCACCTGAGGTCAGGAGTATGAGACCAGCCTGGCCAACATGGTGAAACCCATCTCTACTAGAAATACAAAAAACTTAGGTGGCCATAGTGGCGCACACCTGTAATCCCAAATACTCAGGAGGCAGAGGCAGGAGAATCGCTTGAACCTAGGAGGCGGAAGTCCACTGCACTCCAGCCTAAGCTATGCACCCTCTTCTGAAATTGTTACCTAGTACGCCAATAAAAGGATTTGGCCCCAGAGCAGCGGCTCACGCCTGTAATCTCAGCACTCTGGGGACTAAAGCAAGACGATCGCTTGAGGTCGGGAGTTCGACGCTAGCCTAGACAACATACTGAGGCCCGTCTCTACAAAAAAAATTTAAAAATTAGCCGAGCTGGTGGTGTGTGCCTGTGGTCCCAGCTACTCCGGAGACTGAGGCAGGAGGATCGCTTGAGCCCGGGAGGTGGAGAGTGCAGTAAGCCGAGATCGCACCACTGCACTCCAGCCTACACGACACAGCAAGACCCTTTTAATAACAGGTTTTGTTGAGTGTCTCATTGATCCGGTCCCTCCCACGCCCCCTGTGCTTCACAAAAACGTCAAGTCCGAGCTCCCGGCCCGGCGCGGCAGCCTCCTCTTCCGCGGGCCTGGCCGGGGCTCGGGAGAAGGACGAGTTCCTTGGGGCCGGGAGTCACCAATCACACTCAGCCTGACACGGCAATGTTTCGGATACTTTGGGTAAAAATTAAACGTCTTACGAAAAATCCAGTCACCTCTTTCTCGATGTTTTTTACGGTGGCGTCTAGAACCTTTCGTCAGCGCGAACTCCGTACCCGAGTGCCGTAATCACCTGCTCCCAGGGTGGGCAGGACGCGCACTGGCGACGTCTGCGCGCGGGGCGTGCGTGAGAGCGCGCGGGCGACAGGAGCGGGGGCGGGGCAGCGGGCGGGGCCAGGCGGCCGTGGTGGCGGGAGCGCGCGCCCCATGGCCTGAGGCGTCAGGAAACAAGCGCGCGAGCGAACGGGCGGGGCAAGTCCGGGAAAAGGCGGGGCCGCAGCCCCGCCCCTGACTTCCGCCGCCTGCGGGTGAGACCGCCTACCATCCCCGGGCGCGCTTGGGCTTGTCGCGGGAGGCGTGATGGCCCGCCCCCAAGCCACGCCTCTGACCTATGAGAACTGGGCAGTCCCGCACCGACTGAGAGGAGCCTTCACTCTCGCAGGGGCTGGGCGTTCTGGGCGCAGTGCACCCTCTGTTGAACCTTAGAAGCTGCGCGGGGACCGGGCCTGCCGTTTCGCACCTGGCCGAAAGGGGTCGCTGTGCCGGGCCAGATCCTATGTAAATTTACCTGGATAATCTCAGGAAACGAAAATTAGCTGCAGTGCAAAGAAGCCAGGCTCCAAAGACTGGATTATTCCATTTACATGACATATTGTCACGGGTAAGACTATAGCAACAGAGAATTAGATCAGTGGCTCTTATGGGCTGAATTAACCACCAAGGGGCATGGGGGACATTGGAGATAAAGGAACCAATTCACATCGTTTTGTTTTTTAATTTTGCTTTCCTTTTATTCTTTTTTAAATCATATCTTGATCATAGTGGTGGATAGGAAACTATGCATTCGTCAAAACATGCAAAACCAAAAACCAGAAAGTGTGACTTTTACTAAATGTAACTACTTTTTTATTAATTTGTTTTTAAAGACAGATTCTTGCTCTCTTGCCCAGGATGGAGTGCAGTGGCTCCATCTCGGCTGACTGAAACCTCTGCCTACTGGGGGCAAGTGATTCTTCTGCCTCAGCCTCCCCAATAGTTAGGACTACAGGCGAGCACCACCAGGCCCAGCTAATTTTTGTATTTTTAGTAGAGACAGGGTTTCACCATGTTGGCCAGGCTGGTCTTGAACTTCTGACCTCATGTGATCCACCTACCTTGGCCTCCCAAAGTGCTGGGATTATAGGTGTGAGCCACCGTGCCTGGCCAACTACTTTAACTTTTTTAAAAAAGATATTAAAACCAGAAAGCAGATAGGTGGTTGCTGGAGACTGGGAGGAGGGGGAAGGAGTGGCTGCTTAACGGAGGCATGTTGGACATGTTTTGGAACCAGGTAGGCTGTGTAACACTGAATGTATTAAGTGCCATTGAATTGTTCACTGTAAAATTCCAGGAAACTCTGCAGGCTCCTTTCTGTTAAGAGTTCATGTCCATGTCATCATGGGGTGAGCTGTGACTCTGCCTTCTACTCTGGCCTCAGTCCCCAAGCACCCAGCACTGTGAGCATGAGGCATAGCAGAGGACCATGGCATAAATCGATCTCTAGCCATGGAAGATTGAAAGATTTAAAGGATCATGGCCCAGCCTGGGCAACATGGCCAAACCCTGTCTCTACAATAATATACAAAAAAATTAGCTGGCCAGGCATGGTGGCTCATCCTTGTAATCCCAGCATTTTGGGAGGCAGATCACCTGAGGTCAGGAGTTCAAGATAAGCCTGGCCAACATGGTGAAACTCTGTCTCTACTAAAAATACAAAAATTAGCTGGGCATGATGGCAGGTGCCTGTAGTCCCAGCTATGTGGCAGGCTAAGGAGGATCACTTGACCCTGGGAGGTGGAGCTGAGATCGTATCATTACACTCCAGCCTGGGCAACACAGCAAGACTCTATCTTAAAAAAAAAAAAAAAAAAAAAAGCCAGGCTTGCTGATACAGGCCTGTAGTCCCGGCTACTAAGGAGGCTGAAGTGGGAGAATCACTTGAGACCAGGAGGTTAAGGTTACAGTGAACTATGATCACAACACAGCACTCCAGCTTGGCGACAGAGCAAGACTCCATTTCACGTAAAAATAATAAAAATTTTAAGATAGCTAGGCGTGGTGGCTCATGCCTATAATCCCAGAACTTTGGGAGACCAAGATGGGCAGATCACTTGAGGTCAGGAGTTTGAGACCAGCCTGGCCAACGTGGTGAAACCCTGTCTCTACTAAAAATACAAAAATTAGCTGGGCATGGTAGTGCACACCTATAGTCCCAGCTACTTGGGAGGCTGAGGTAGGAGGATAGCTTGAACCCAGGAGGTGGAGGTTGCAGTGAGCCAAGATCACACCACTGCACTCTAGCCTGGGCAACAGAGATTGTCTCAAAAACTAACAATAAAATAAAATAAAGGACCACACCGATCCCCAGTAGGATGCAATACCCTTGTGCTATTATCACCAATTTTCAGAACAGGAAATTGAGGCTCAGAGGAAGTGGCTTGTCAGAGGTGGACCTGACCTCTGGCAGACCAATTCCAGGACCCGAGCACTTGAACACCATACCACAGTGGGGTGGGGGAGGGTGGAGGGGAGGGGAGGGGGAGGGCAGTGGGGTTCCCCTTCTAGAGGAGGAGAGGATGAGGTTCAGAGAAGTTATGCAAGCCCAGGAAGTGGCAAAACCTAGGAATTAACCAAAGCCTGGGGATCAAGCAGGGCCCCTGACCACCTGTGTCCTTTTCCTGGCGTTTGGAATCAGTGGCTTGCTTGTTCCTTCTCTCAGCACCTCCCACCAAAGAGCCACTCCCCAACCCCAACCCCATCTTCCACCTTTTCGTTTTGAGATGGAGTTTCACTCTGTCTCCAGGCTGGAGTGCAGTGGCACGATCTCAGCTCACTGCAACCTCCGCCTCCCAGGTTCAAGTGATTCTCCTGCCTCAGCCTCCAGAGCAGCTGGGACTATAGGCATCTGCCAACACACCCGGCAAAGTTTTGTATTTTTAGTAGACAGGGTTTCACCATGTTAGCCAGGATGGTCTCAATCTTTTGACCTCGTATTCTGCTCGCCTCGGCCTCCCAAAGTGCTGGGATTACAGGTGTGAGCCACCACGCTTGGCACATCTTCGATCTTTTTTTTTTTTTTTT